AATAGTAGTGCGAGTCGAAAACAAGCGTTAAAGCCTTTAATATGTCTTCAAATATAAATAAACATCTCGTTGATATTTTCAGTAGTAATTGGTACCAATAACAGCACATTTAAGCAATGCAATTGTAGTGGATAAAATGGTCAATTTTTCCGTGCACTACTGTACGGATTATACGCTCCTCACCGGTTAAGAGAGTTGTCTCCTTCCTTTTTTGGCCTAGTGCTGTTCTTTTCTACTTTGCGCCGGTAGACGTGATATTACAGGATGATCCGTACAAATACCTTCCACCATCTTTTCAAATTAATAATAAATTAATATGCATAAGTCCAGTAAATGCAATTTGAATCCTTTGTGAGTGTTATGCTTTATTTAGAAGATTTGAGACCTTGGGATGGTTAAAAACATAAAAAAAATGTGCAAATTCTTACGTGTGTACCTAAACATACACCTATTCTTGAAGATCTTCAATAAAAGTAACCAGTAATTTTTTTTGTTTGATATGAAAAGTTATGGGTGTGCCCAACAATGTATTTAAACGTGTGACAAATTATTTGAATAACTTTTTTCTCTTTGTTACAGGTGATAGGAGTTCTGTCAGTATTTTTTATTTGCGTCTCGATCTTGTCCTTCTGTCTCAAGACCCATCCAGATATGAAAGTGCCCTATTTGAGGACGATTTCGGTCAGAACGGCGGGCAACGAAACTGCTCATACGATTGATAAGGCAGACACCGATGCACACATAGCCTTCTTTTACATCGAGTGCATATGTAACGCCTGGTTCACGTTCGAAATAATTATTAGATTTATTGCATCTCCGAACAAATGCGAATTCATAACTGCATCGGTAAGTACAACGTTGCCAATTCGAAATAATTCCGTAATAAGATCAATGAATTCAAGTATTAAATAAAAACTTACTTAATACGTACAATGAAGTCAGAACTGACGATCTATCCCAGATCATTGAGCATAGAGTTTCGTTCTTAGTACCGTCGTGTGAGAAATGGACGAGATAGACGGGTAGGACACCTTCTCAGGCATGAAGGGCTAGTTAGAGACATATTAGAAGTTGAAACAGGAGTTAAAAGGCGTAATGGTAGACCTAGCTTAGATTCATCATCATAAGGTCTTTAGTCCTAAGACTGATTGGACACGCATCTCCACTTCTTCCAATATCTTCGCATTTCCATTAACTATTTGTGAACAATAATCTAATCTAGATCTTCCTCTAGAAGTGACTTCTTTTTATGGGAGGGTACTCGACCCTGCGCTATCTTCTGCATTATATCCCTACTACTCCTTCCGTTCTGACTTATCTGACTTCCTAGACACCTAACATCAGTCACTTCTTCTAATTTTTCGTCTCCTATCTTTGTATATCTATTTATATTCGTTCTTCCCCTGCTTTTTCTTCCCTTGCATGCCAGTATTTTTCTTTTACTTTTTTTTATTTTCATACAATACAGTTTTGTCAATACCGCTTCCATTTTGTTTAAAGTTATCTCTAACTCCTCCTTGTTAGATGCTTATACTGCTGTATCATTTGCAAATCTAAGCATACTAGTTTTGCCCCTGTGTATCTATCCCTACAATTGTACTATCTTTAATGATGTTGATCGCGTCTTCCACGTATAGATTGAAAAAAGGTAGCGGTGACAGTGAGCATCCTTGTCTTCCTTCCTAATATTTACGTTGTTGCTCCAGCTCTATAACTACTTGTTGCTCTTTCTACAAACTAAATATCACTCTTCTAGATTAGAAATGTGATCTATATGTCTATATTCTCACCGTTCTCTATCGTTGACCTGTATAAAATCTGAAAAACCTGTGGCAAGTCTCTTGGCATACCTATAAGTCATCTTCACAGAGATTTAAGTTCAAAGATTGGTTGGACACGAACCTTCGCTCTTTTATATCCTGGCCCAAACCCCACATTTTCCGAATACTGGAACAGCAGTAATCTAATTTTGATCTTCTTCTGTCCCTTTTTGCACCTGCTCCATTTCTAATTTGTTCCTAGCAAGCCCTTTTTGTTTCAAAAAGTGACCTACAATTCTATCTACTTTTCGTTATTGACTTTCAGCCTCCTAGTGTTTCCGATGTTTCCCCGTTTCTTTTACCTTTTGTATCTACGATATTTTGTTATTCGTATAAATCACCAGCCTGACATGAATAAAGGAAGAGTTATTGATAGGTTCTTAAAGTTTACGGAAATAATTGCCTTAAGGACTGATTTTTTCATTTTACTTGCGATTGGTGAAGTGTAATTTTGGTTAAACCTTGATCATGGTCTTGTTAACGGGATTATTGCTTTGATTCTTGACTGCCAGAACAAGAAGGAATTTGCTCATCATTATCTCTTTTTTATCAGGTGAACATTATCGATTACATCGCGACAGCAAGTTTTTACATCGACCTGCTACTGAGGAAGTTCGCGTCTCATCTGGAGAACGCTGACATCATGGAGTTCTTCTCGATCATCAGGATAATGAGGTTGTTCAAGCTCACGCGGCATTCGTCCGGCCTAAAGATTTTAATACAAACATTTCGTGCATCCGCTAAAGAACTCACGCTGTTGGTGTTTTTTCTTGTGTTGGGTATCGTTATTTTTGCGAGTCTAGTGTATTATGCCGAGAGGATACAGGCGAATCCACACAACGATTTTAAAAGTATACCGCTCGGGCTTTGGTGGGCGCTGGTCACGATGACCACCGTCGGTTATGGCGACATGGTACCCAAGACTTATATAGGAATGTTTGTTGGCGCTCTTTGTGCACTCGCCGGTGTGCTTACGATTGCCTTGCCAGTTCCTGTGATCGTGTCCAATTTTGCCATGTACTACAGCCACACACAGGTAAGAATCCCTTTTTTATTACACCAATTTTAGGTTCCAATCAATAAATTATCTATCCAAAACTTCTTAAAGATTCCCATCTCAATATCGTAATTTTATTATTGTTTTAAAGAAATAGATAGATCCAAAGAATTTTCCACGGAAACATTTTATAAGAAATCGAATTTCCAACAAAATGTCATTACTTCTTAGTATTCAATATTTTAGAATACATATTCCTTTAAATTTTATTTAATCTACAATATCCCTTCTTTTATGTTCAATAATACGTTTAGTAAATGATCTACCAGTTTGTCCTATGTATACTTCAAATTCTTGGTCATCATTCTTTCAGACGTGCAATACGATTTTGAACTTATTGGTTCTCATCAGTGTGTTATTAAGCCGTTTGTGATTGTTTTCATTTGAAAGTTAAAGATCTATTATAAATAATATTTATTGTAGAAAGATCAGTTCCTTGCAAAATCCAAATTAACCCTTACAAACACTTACCGCTTTCAATTCTAAACAAAACGTACCAGTTTTTGTTTGTTGTCTCTATGAGATCTTGCCGCATTTGTAAATGGACTTATACGAGGGTGGATTGATAAGTTTCCGGCCTGACCAAGAAAAACAAGGTTTTTAAAAATTTTTTTTTTTTATTTCTCAACATAATCTCCTCCAAGGCTGATACATTTCTCATAGCGGTGTTCCAGTCTATTAATGCCATCTCTATAGACTGATTCGTCAAGCTCCTCAAAATAACCATTTACAGCTTCGATTACTTCTTCATTGTCCGCAAATCTCTTACCGCCAAGCCATTTTTTGAGATTAGGGAACAGAAAATAGTCACTCGGGGCTAGGTCTGGAGAGTAAGGAGGGTGCGGCATCAATTCAAACTTTAGATCGTTGATTTTAGCCGTCGCAACGATTGACGTGTGCGCTGGTGCGTTATCGTGATGAAACAAGATTTTTTTCTTCGCCAGATGAGGTCGTTTAATTTTCACCTCGTGGCTCAAACGTTGCAATAAGTCTGCGTAGTATTGACCAGTGATAGTATTACCCTTTGCAAGGTAATCAATGTATATAATACCTCTTGCATCCCAAAAAACAGTAGCCATAACCTTGTTCGCCGAAAAAATTGTTTTTGCCTTCTTTGGAGTTGGTTCCCCTGGTCCAATCCACTGTTTAGACTGTTCTTTGGTTTCAGGAGTGTAGTGGTGGACCCACGTTTCGTCAACGGTTACGAATCGACGCAAAAATTCGCTTGGATTACGCTTATACAATGACAAATTTGCGGTAGAAATGTTTTTTCGAATCAATTTTTGGTCGACTGTTAGCAAACGCGGCACCCATCTTGCACAGAGCTTTTCCATATGCAAATGTTGGTGCAAAATATGTTGCACACGTTCATATGACATCTTACAGGTCTCAGCTATCTCACGCACTTTCAATCTGCGGTCTCCCAGCACTATTTGATGAATTTTTTCGATCATATCTGGAGTTGTGACCTCAACGGGGCGTCCTGAGCGAGGCCCATCAGAGGTGCTCACACGACCCTTTTTAAACTCGGAAACCCACTGCTTAACGGTTGAATATGACGGGGAGGATGTCCCCAGTGTTGAGTCCATCTCTTTTTTAATTTCCTTCGGCGTTAACCCCTTCAAATAAAAGTATTTGATGACAGCACGATTTTCCTGCTTTTCCATTTTTACGAAAACCACAGAGGCGTCTTGTTCAGCGTGCTGTCAAACCTACACTAGCAAGGAGATCGGGCTGAAACTATAGCTACAAGCTATCCAAGGATGGTACTATAGAATGTCACCTCAAGGTAGGCCTAGTGGCGTCATCTCTTGGTTAGGCCGGAAACTTATCAATCCACCCTCGTAAATAATTTAAGATGTAAATTGTGGTTTGGGATGGTCGCTTTTACTACCCTAGCTTTAGGAATCCATTTTCCCTCTTAAAATATAACCACTTAACCAAGCCGGAACAAAAATCCGCAATTTTCCTCCCTACCTTCTCGCCATCGTTCCCGGACATGATTTGTAGAGCTGTTTTCTCTTACATAATTCATCGTTTAGATTTCATTCATACCTTTCACCTCATAACGTTTCCGAATGTGCCATGGCAACATGCTGAATCCATGCGAGAATCGAATGGTACCACATGTTCTCTACAACAACACTTCTTTCACTATTCAAAAGATTTATTACCGCAATCTATTACAAACGAGACGAAAACCCAGCTTGTCGTCGCTGAAATGGCTCTTTATCTGTGATACATACAAATTTTTGTTGAACTTACTATTAAAAACTGCTCCAATGCTACCGATATGGTTGATGTTCCGTTTAATAAGGCTTAATACAATTTATATATGAATACCGGGTGTTTTTGCAATGAGTAGCAAGCTTGCAAGAGGTGATAGAGCACCTTAAAACATGAAAAGAAAATAAGTGCATATTTTAAAGTAGAAGCAAGGGTCAGTTCGGCCCTGGTAGGATCACGCAGGGAAATACGACAACGCAACGCCACATTCAACCATTTGGTAATTGGCAACATCCATGTTGTATTTATTTTGTATTTTTGACTCATGCATTGTTTGTTATTTCTTTGATTAGAGCAAGGGGTTACTCTTCAGTCAACCTAGCGTAGTTCTTTGTTCTTTTTACGTTGTAGGCTTGTATTAATGTAGTCAGTCGAGGACATTGCAGTAGGTCAGTGTGCTAGTGTCATGGGCCAGTGTAGAATAGTATCTAGGCGCGTAATCCGGATCCAAATCCGCTTTACTTCTTTGTAAGGGTTTGTATGATACAGCGCGTACAAAATGTTACTGGAACATATAAACTGCTTTAGCTAATCTGAAATTTCTAAGCCACAAAGTGTTAATTTCCATTTCACAATATATACTGTATATCCACGACTGTTGACATTTCCTTTAACTCCAGCCTCAAGCTGAGTCACTATGGAAATTTCATTTTTCATAAACATCAATATTAAGTAACCGAATCTTGCATTTTAAACTAAATTTTGTTTAAACATGTTTCATGGCGTTTTTTTAATATTATAGCAAACATACAACTATTGAGCAATTTTTGATTATCAATAATAGAAAACAGAAGCATCACTTCAATTTTCTATTTTACCTTTTTGTTTTCTTTTCTTGTGTAAAGTCACCAATCTCGTCATTGACAGTATTCAGAGCGTAAAAAGGTACGTTTTGTGGGTGTACATTCGTAAGTGGGAATCCTCGAAATATCCGATCCAATTTTTGTTTGATATTGACTCACAGATAATCCGTTCCCTACTTTAAAGCTTCATTTCGGCTAACCCACGCTCTCCACGTTGCATACGAGAGTCGACCCCGGCAAGATTGATAAGGGATAAAAAGACGGCAATGTTGATTTTGTACCATAAAATATTTTCTTTCACAACGATTCGAAAGCTGAACAAATATACCGGAGACGAAAAGGCAAACTTGCGCCCATAATATTAATTTACTCGATAATACAGGACTACAAAATTGATTGAAATATGACTACAGTTCTGTAAGTGTTATTTATCTAAAGTTCACCCGTTGATAATACATTTTGAGCAGAATAACATCGAATATCATTTTTTAATGTTTTTTGGTACCTATTACGCATGATACAAACGTTAGGTTAATTTTGCTTTAACCATATTAAGGGATTAAAAGTTATTACGTATTCCACAATATAGCGTCAAATATGTATAGTTAAAAATTTCGCAGAAGTTTTAATAAAAATTGTTTTTGTAAATAATTGTTTATACTACTCCAAACTCCAAAACTACAAATTGATTTTTCACTTGAAAACGCTAGTTGCGAAAAGTGAAATTTCGTTACCTTAAACAAAAGAAAAACTATAAAGACCTTTCCTTTATCTTCAATATGTGTGGAGGGTTTTCAAGGTCATTGATTACAAGTCTAACGTTAGTTGATGTGGTCCCTGATAATTTGACCCTTCTGGAGGTAATCCATAAGGATATTTCTTTCTGTATCGCAGAAAATAGTTGTCATATTAACCCTAACCCTATTTGCTAACGAAATTGTTTTGGGGTTATTTCACCTGATACTGTTCATTTTTCCAAAGACCAAAGAACCCAAATAATCTTGCCAACCACTTTGAAAATAAATCATAACCCATGACAGAAATTTTTCTGTAACTCATTAATAAAAAAGGCAATATTTGTCATATATTCACCAGCATATTGTTTTAAACTTAGTTATTTTAGTTGAATAAGGATATTCACCGGTACCGTACCGACGACCAAGAAGCTATTCTCTGGTCCCGTACCGGTGACCAAGAAGCTATTCATTGATACCGTATCGGTTGCCAAGAAGCTATTCACTGATACCATACCGGTGACTAAGAGGCTGTTCACTAGTACCGTACCGGTGACCAAGAAGCTACTCACTGGTACCGTACCGCTGACTAAAAGGCCATTCACTAGTACCGTACCGGTGGCCAAGAAGCTATTCATTGGTACCGTACCGGCGATTAAAAAGCTATTCACTGGTACCGTACCGATGGCTAAGGAGCTATTCTCCGGTCCCGTACCGGTGACCAGGAAGCTATTCATTGGTACCGTATCGGTTGCCAAGAAGCTATCACTGGTACCGTATTTGTGACTAAGAGGCTATTCACTGGTACCGTACCGCTGACTAAAAGGCTATTCACTAGTACCGTACCGGTGGCCAAGAAGCTATTCATTGGTACCGTACCGGCGATTAAAAAGCTATTCGCTGGTACCGTACCGATGGCTAAGGAGCTATTCACCGGTACCCAAACGTTGTATCAAATGATTTATAAAACTAAGACCAATGAGCGCAATGCATTCCGACATTGAGAACATTTTTCGAACTTAAAATTTCCACAGTAGTTTTCCATTTAATGATTCTTAAATTTCATTATTTAAAATAAGTGAAGCGTGCATTTAATCTTTTAATTCAAAGTCAATGCACCTTACAACAGTAATGACGCTTTCTTTCTAGCTCCTTAGTCACCGGTACCGGACCAGTGAATAGACATATCGTTTTTCATTTTTTTTTTCACTACTTTGGCCATTATGAAATAAACATATTTTGTAAAACTATAATGAATCTCGAGGGCCGGGAAAATGTTCAAAGCTGACCTCTTCTGACTTTCCCTTTTTCGAATTTCAAAACTAACCGTTTGCGAGCATAATATCGAAAATTGGCGACTTTTTCTAACTTTTTGTCTCGAATATTTACATTATTATTTCAATCCTACCACCTCCCTTACATGAACATATTTTGAAATTACTTTTTCCATTTTCATTTCAAACTTTTGTATATACAATCTCAGCACACCATATCTCACCGTTTTCGATGTAAAAAAGTCGATTTTGATACAGGACACTAAAGACTAATTACAAATTTCGTATTAATTGTCTGAATTAACTTTTAGCTATTTCATTTAAAAGCGCTTGACGAATCCGAACTTTTAGGTTAAATGGGGTTGTTCCCAATAGGTCTAATGAACGAATTTTCGATCCGCAGCCTCTCTACAAACTTTGCAGTCGATTGAAGGCTTTTAACACAATTAGCAGTTTAGGCGGTTTGTGAAACATCAAAGCCCGACAATCGACAAACCGCGGAAATTGTGCAGCACTTTCCTTCTAAAATTCTGTTTCTCTTATTTTCCAGAAGGGAATTGCTAGTTAGCTATTTTTCGTTTGCGTTTTTTTTACGTGAATGAGGTAAGTAGGTAATAGCTCTAAAGAGAAGGAAAGAATTGTTTCGTAAAAAAAAACCTCGCAGAGAAAATGGAAACGCTTAGGCGTCTGGAAAATTTATTGCCGCAACAACTTTTAGGCGCCGTTTTTTTCTTATAAATATCAAAATGAAATCTAATGAGATAAAATGTATGTGTGAGTGTTGAAAAACAAAACCACTTATATACGCTGATAAATTTGTATAGAAGTAGTGGGGATATAAAGCAGAGTATAGCGCAGGGTATTGTGGCATTCAATAAAAAGAAGTCACTTCTATGCTCGGGAACGGTTGATTCAAAATTCGAAAAAGATTGTGAAAGTACGCGCCGCTGTACGGGTGCGAAACATAGACAGTGGGCGCGGCGGAAAAGAAAAGATTAGAAGCGTTCGAAATGTGGTGTTAAGGCGAATAATGAGGATACCGTGGATAGAGAAGGTTAGAAATAAAGAGGTATTGAATAGGAAAACAGAGGACTCTATGGAAGTCAATAAGAAATAGGCGAGATAGGTTGGTAGGACACCTTCTCAGGCATGAAGGTCTACTCAGAGACATATTACAGGCAGAAACGGGAGTTATGAGGGGTAAAGGTAGACCTAGATTGAATTACTATTCGTAAATAGTAAAGGATGTAGGTTGTTCTAGTTTTAGGGAAATGCGAAGATTAGCTCAGGGTAGGAAAGAGAGGAGGTGCGTGTCCAACCAGTCTTAGGACTGACGATCTTATGACGATGATGAAATTTGTATTCATATATTTGTAAATGATAAATATGAGGTGTATCTCACGATTACTGAAATATTACAGATCCAACTACTGCTAAAAGGAGAATGAAGAGAGTCTTCCGCCCTGTCCTCCGGAGTTAGTGACATTAACTAATTTTAAATTAACTCGTGGTTTTGATTTTAAATCTAGCTTTTTGAAGACTCAAACAACTGAACAAACATTATCGAGTTTTGCTACTTGTAACACGTTAAAATGCCAGGTTTCAGACTGCTCTGTTTATGAGATAAAACCAATGACTTGTTATTAAATAGACATACCTCGTATAGCCTTTAGGTTTGCCGAATGCGACTCCTCCTTCATTGTTATGTTGTCAACGCACATCATACTGTTAGTAGTACACTCAGTAATAGTAGAAGTAGACATTTCAGGATCGTTTCGTATTCAAGTTTAGCGACGGACTTTGCAATTGGTTACTCTTGAGTGAACCCCAGGAAGACATCCTTAATCTCGGGTATCCTCAAAATGCCAGTCGGAAGGAAATTCTGGGGTGATTTACTTGTCTTGGCTGCAGGTGTGAAATTTACAAACACCTGCGTTGCTCGAAAGATTTACTGACGATAAGACTTGCATATATAATAAGGGGAAAATAATACCAACGGAACATGCTAAGACAACTGAGTAGTAGAAGATTATAAAGCCACCTTGTACCTACTATTTTTCACGTTTAGGTATTTGTATTTTTACGTGCAATAAAAAAGACATCATCTACTGCAGGAGCATGCTGAGATGTGGTTCTTTTGAAATAGTTACATTTCAAACATAAATGGAAAACGCAAAATGACTACCCTACCGAACATCGAACATCGAAAGAAATCTTTCGCGACGTAACAGTGACAATAAAATTGTCTCCGCGATAAAAATTAATTAATCATGATTCTGTTGTGATTGATATACATATTATTGAAAGCATAACTTTGTCAAATTTCAGAAAATTATCAGATGTATGATTTATTACAAAAATACTTCTCGGTAAAATCGCAAAGCCGATACCATAAGTGAATTTAAAATTCACAATAGTTTTGGATTAATAATTGTAAAAAAAAAAGATAATCTTTTCGATATTAACATCATCTTGCACATTTTGATTTCTACAATACTCAGCTGCCTGTCTCAATCTTTCGGAGCGCTCTGTATCATTATCTATCGTGTGTTTTGTAACAAGCAAAATTAGTTATATATTACGTTCTTATACTTCATTGTTTCTAGATCAAACTTATCATCATATCATACCATATCATATGCCTTTACCGACTGCATTGCTGTTTACCCTCCAACTTATTGTCTACTTTGAATTTTGCAATTTAATATTATTGATTGTACTAACTTCACACCATAATCAACAAGGACAAAAAATGTAGAAAAATGCTTGACGTTTGACCTCCAGTGAATCTCGAAGGTTCTTTTGAACGTTTTTATAATTATCGTTGTATTTACCTTTGACAATGTCAATGTAAATGCTTTTCTATCAACTGCTACTTCATACGTATAATATTAAAGGAACTTTGCGAGCATGATTGGATTATAAGCTAATATTTTAAGGTAAAGTAGGATAATCTTGAGGGTGTTTGTCATCTCTAAAGGGATAAAAGAAACGCATTTTGTAGTAAACAACCATGAAACAACTAAACTAGGATCTAGCTACTGCTCTTGAATTTACGCCAAAAATATTATGTGAAAAATTGCACTGATTTACAAATAAAAAAAAAATAAGTTGATGTATTGTTTTGATAATTAATTTTTTAATAATTACAGTTCGGATTAATTTTAATGACCAAATTATTTTATATCTTTTTTACAGGCTAGAGCAAAACTTCCGAAGAAAAGACGGCGAGTTCTTCCTGTTGAACCAACTAGAGGTCCTCGACTTCCTGGTCAGGCACCTACAGGGCCAGTTGGTGCTCCACCTGCAGGAGTAGGACCTGTGCCAATTCAAAATAGGCGAATGAACGCCGTGAAAACAAACCATCCGAAAGATATAGTAATGGAAAACAAACCAGGTAAGTTAAAATTAATAAGCTTACTTTAGTGGCAAAGAAAGTAAAATCACTTTTCACAAGTTACGTATAATTACAGCAATCAGTTTTTTTTGTGTTGCTGGGAATATAAGAAAATTATAGAGCTTGAAATATGGAAAAACTTGACACATAATTTATTTACTGAGCGTATCGATTTATGTTGTATGGCTATTTTTTTATTTAAGTAATAATTTCAAATTGTACTTAAATATAGACCACTTTATTGAAAAGTTTTTATGAGTAAATCTGCAAAGTAGAAGCAGCTTATTATTCTTATCATTTTGCAGATTTTATAATCAGCACTAAGTAATCATCACATAAATTATGATAAGTACCTACTAACTATAAGATGGTTTGTGATGACAAATATATTTATTTGCAAATGCACTAACTTAACTCTTTTTCAAAATTTTGATTGTATCTTCTCAAAAGTTGCTTTTTACTTTTGAAGTCGTAATTCTTTTAACGCATCGGAAGTAATATTTTACTGTGCAACGGAAGGTGCGCGCACACAGCTAACAAAAATCGTCAATATGAAGATAGCAGCGGTTGCTGCTGTTCGCTGTTTGGCGAAAGTTTGCACCGCAGCCAATAAATACGGAAATAGATAATCGAAAGCATTGTTTAAATATTTACATAACATTATCGTGTATATACACCATGTCTGATCAGTATCCCGAAATATTCAAGAAGAAGCATTTGGAGGAACTGTATGTTGCATCTCGTGATAGCGCCGCAACGTAGGGGGTTTAAAAACTGTTCACAAAAAGTAATTAACCGCCAATGATTGAAAATGATTGAAAATTCTCCAGGTTAGCATGCGCGTTATCTTATCGCCGAAACACACGTACCTACTCAAGACCTTCGCAGCAGCTGGCACGCAGAGAGGTCAGTCGTACGTATGACCATTAATATAGTCTGCACTCCATGCAGTGAGAATGCAGTAGTAGCATCACGTAGTAATTATGGTACCTCACAGAGGGAGTGAAGCCTAGAAAAGGCGACAAGTCGGTATTGACGAAATCGTTTTTCGGTTTCCCGGTTTGAGTATCCCAGTCATTGCTTAACAAAGAGGGATTCCAAGTGGTACGGTGTGGAGGAATCTAAGGAAGAATTCCCTGTATTCGTACCGTTATCAAAAACGCCATACCTTACTCGGGGTTCGACACAACAACCAACCAACTCCACCACAGCATTTAGCGACACCACATGACACAATTACACCGGGTAATCCCGGTCATCATTATCGGAGCAGTTGGGGTTTTCGGTCAGATCATCCTCAGTTTATCTATTTCAGTGGGTGGCGCGAGATAGCTCATTCTATTCCTTTTCATATGCCTTATTCTCCCTTAAATTTTCTGGTATACTGATCAGACATAGACTGGCTAAATAAATATGTATTTAAATGGAAGTATAATTTCTACAGCGAGTATATAAGTACACACACACAATTTTTCTTATATTATGTGTGCGTGTGATGTATTATTATTATATAATTAGTCGCAATTTTTGTGGTTCTATACTTATTTTTGTTTTTTTGTAAGTAGAGATGAACACGGCAATTTTTACAGAAACGGTACAAAACAACACCAATGTTAGAACAAATGGAACCAAACCGAGCTGTGAAATAAATCGACAATAAGTGACACACACGTATGTGTTTGTTTTGGGTATAGTGAAGTTAGTGCAAGGCATGCGTTTAACTGTATCCATCACAAAAAACCCTTAATAAGTTTTGAACCATTTTAAAAATATTTATATTAGCAATAAGAACCTTCCCAGGAGATGTAAACATGGAAATTTTCTATTCCGATTTCGTAACGTATTCAAATTAAAATTTAATTTTTCTCATCTTCACCTATATTCTTCCTATAGTGTCACAAAAGTTATTTCAAAGGACAAGGGTTGATAAGATGTATTTATTCCCTGTAACGCAATCAAGATTGTGTAAAATTATTGAGAAATTAACTCGGCCCCTGGCTCTACCAGTACGTATTCCATCACTAACGATTCTTACTCATTAGGCTACAAAAATTCAATGTATCTCATTCTTATTTTTATTAGAAGGTAAAGTTGGGACTGATGTCTCTTAAGGAGAGTTTATCATGTCAATATTCTCACTTTAAAATGGTTCAAAAGTTACAGACGTATTAGAACAAGCNTTGAAATGCACAGTAAATCAACATTCAAAACATATAATAAAAGTATGTATAGTTTGTCCATACGTGCCGCTAAAACTCCTTAACCGAATCCCGTAACCCCATGATGGCCTTCCAATCCCCCGTCCATAAAGATAGTTTCGGTTTTCAAATGCAGGGGTTGATTTCAAAGATATGGGAGTTAAAAGACTATCGTCCTAGAGGACTCCATAGAAAGAAGTTACATCTGGTTAACGATTTACAGAATGTCATAGATTTGTTCAAAATGCACTCACATCTAAAGGGTTCGAGAATGTTTTAGAATTTTCTGGATGGCTCGGAAACGTTCCCGAATGATAACTAATTTTTTCTGATCGAAGTCAGGATAATCCGTCTTGTCCACAAAAAAAATGAAAATTATGTATTTAAAATCATCTGAAGATATTGAAAGTTTCTGTAAGTTTTTTTTCGCAATACAGGAGATTTACTGCATTAAGCAAAGATATCGTTAAGCAAGGACACAAAAATTTATATGCTTTCGTGTTTTATATAATGAAATAACATAATGTTTTAATAATTGGTGGACCATTGGACAAATTTTACTTCATTTAGCCATATTATTCCTTAATTGCTAATATAAATGTCAACGAGTTTTAAATATTATCTAGCAATCGACCCCTGTATTAAATAATTTTTTTATAATATGCACAGTTCATAGATTTAATAGGAGTAGAAACCTTAGATTAAAGTTAATATAATACCTTCTTCACTGCATGGTGTGGGCAATCACGTAACCAAAGTAGTTAATTTGTAAACAAAATTCCACAGTAATTTGTCTCATAATCCTTGTTGATTTTAATAATTACAATAATTAGGTTCGGAGATAATATTAGTATTTTAATATTATTTTTGTTGTTGAAGTTATTATCTCTTTAAAAAATGAATTGAAATTTAGTAATTTATTATCACTTAATTATAATTAAATCTACATAAACAAAAATGTTTACATTTCTGGACAAATTGTACTTTTTGTACTAATTTAAAATACAAAACGGCGTTGGGAGTGAATATCGATGCTGTAACAATGTTCGTATTAAATATAATTTACAGAAGATTAGCAATAACGTGCGTATAAGTTTAAAAAAAAAATGAACAGGATACAATTCAGGATTACAATTCAGAAGCAATCCTTACGACGTAAATTTAACGCAAAAAGACTAGAAATAGGAGAAAACGTAAGAGTCGTTGCGTGATGAGCCACTGCGCATCAATTAAATCAGATCTGATGCGCACCGTTTTACTGCGCAACAACTTTCATAGCGTAACACTCTTACGTAATTTAAGTTCCTATCTCTGGTCTTCTTGAATAGATTATACAGCGAATAAATAGTTGCCAGACGTAATATCTACTACCCACCTAAATAATCTTGCTTGAACGTTTTTTATACATTAGTTTTAGTCCCGGTAGCCCCCTCTTGCACAAATCTGTGGCTATGATTATCCCTATTCAATTTCAATTGATTAATATACAGATGTTCATGTACCAAGTGGGTAAGCTGAGGCTGAACTTAGCCCACATGGCGCATACTTTACTTTATTCAACAAATGCGTGATGAATTCAATCTTTTACTAGTATGGAGCACCTAACCTTAAAAATATGACAGTTCTACGTGCCGTTCCAAAAACATTTGTTTTAAAACGTGCAGTTATTTATAAAGCACAGATCAGTAGTACCATTAAGAGAAATTACCTACTACCACCGCAATTTACAGATACTTACTTGGATAGCAACTATGTAAAAATCGCACATGTGTTGAATAAAATAAAAAAAGAAAATATAGCATTTGTCACGTCTAACTATTTAAACTTAGCATTTGCTCAGTTTCTATAGGCGTAACGAGCAACCTAAACCCAAACGGAGTTGGCTTGGATAAGAACCCAGCCCTCTCGATTGGCAAACCCAAACTCGAATTCACCTCGTCACAAGTGACTCTAACAACAAAATCTGGTCAATGTCAGATAACAACACAGGCAACTACGGTGCCCTCATAGCTGTAACTATATACAATATGTTGTCGTTTTAATTATTGACTATATACATATAGTGTAATTAATTCTATAATTAAATTCAATGCATCCATAAGAAATGGTAATATGGTACGAATACTACACTTAAAGCTTATCAATTTATTATCATGTATTATTATGGAATAAGGTTAAACATTCTAAACGTTTACCAATTGTGATACTTAACGTTACTGAGCTATTTAAATTTTAAAAGAACGGTGTTCTGGTGTCTCTTTTTAATATAATTTCTCCTAGATATATAGGTAGTTATCTAGCTCTGTAGAGGTAGAGCATACTTTATTTATATCTTTGGGTGTTTTTGAATAAAATGGTTTGCTAGAGTCAGCCAAAAACAAAGATGAGTGCATCAATCAAGTGTGCTTCAAAAGTAGCACGTTCAACTGTTTAACTTCATAGTTGATGATTGTTTACATTTTAACATCGAATAGATACCTACCCTTAGCATTTTATACTTTATTATACAATCTTGAAAGAAGTTTAGTGAAAATTGCAACTCATGAAATTGTGCCAGCGTCTGCTATATTATTACGTTACTGCGCACAACTTCCAAAAATGGTAGTACCGTTGCGCATTACGTCATCGTGATAGACCATTAAATTAAGAGTATTGTATTTCTAATGCTGTCTTTGTTTTTGGACAGAAATTGAAGAGATGATATTATATAGGTAGATTTATTTAAATTTTATGCATTACTATCTACCATTAAGGGTGTTTGCAGATTATGCGATTTCACACAATTGCGAAGCGGTATGATAGGAGAAAAATGCCGTAACTATACAAAATTGTCATGATATCACAAGATAATTATGTATGTAGTAAGTTATGTGAGTGTGTTGTATATGTTGTTTTTCGAAGTAATTAATTTCGGTATGTAAACAATATTCGCCCTCAATAAGATTTATAGCGCGCGGTGAATCGCCGAATTATCGCTCAGTGTGCAAACGCCCTGCATATTCTTAATACTTAATATGTGATTCCTATTGCAATAATTAATTGTTTAATTATCAACGCATTCTACAACCAACGTATCGCATAAATACGTAATGTGTGAAAGAGTAATACTACAGATGGACACACATGCTTTATTACGTAATATTAATAGTATTTATGTTAAGGTATATTCGTGTGTATAATAATATTTATTGTAAATAAGAACGTATTGCCTGCCTTTGAAAACATTTTAAGTTCTATCTACATATAACTCTACTGACTACTTACTACACCAAAATAATTACTACAACTTATCTACTAGATATATATTAATGTTCCAGGGCTTATTGTTTGAAATTTTTTCAAACAAGGGACCAAAGAAAGAATGCGATTGTCAATAAATAATAAACACATCAGTCTTTTGATGGCAAAATCATTTTGAAGAGATCGCATAAACTTAAACTGTTATTAAAATACTTAATAAAANAAAAACACACAGACCACCACGAGAATTCCATAACGAAACAACCAGAATTCTTTTCATCCAGTCACTACTACACTTATAGTCCGGTAGTAATAATTCGGATTCATTTTTACAAGGAAATTGAATATCACGATTTCTTTGCGTAAAACAGAATACCGTTAAAATATTAATGAGAGGTTGTTGTTGTTTTGGTAGGTAACGTTTTGAAGCAAACGAACTTGGTCAGTGATCTTGAACTTGTTGAAACTGTGTCACGGAGAAGAGGTCTTCCGTTGGATTATATTATGTACACAAACAACCTACTCGTAATTGTACATAGCCGGAATGAAATCAAAAAAGGAATGTTTGCAGAAACTTGCTTCACAGCAACCGGTGTATTTCTTAACAAGTTTTTTGTAGGTAGATAGGTATAGGTAGGCAGAATTTTCCCACGGTAAAAAGAAACCGTAATAACAGTATGTATACATTTAAAGGAAAAAATACGAATGTGTATTACTCAGAATTATACGAAAAAAAATGTTGCATACCCAGGTTTTATAATTTCCTATGTTAATTAAACATTACAGTAAATACCAGCAATGGTAATCCACATGCAGAAAAATAGGTAAATTAATTTTATATGACTAATAGGATCTGTTGGAGATACAGTACCTTTTCAACTATTAATATGGACGAAATTTAAAAAGCATAAAAGTAAAATCCGCTCTGTTGATTTAAAACAATACGCCAATTTTAATATCCGCGAATAATAATGATTTTTTATTATTATTCGAATTGCTACCCTTAACATTTTAGTACAATATTTTAAATATAATAGTACTAAATCACAAGTATAAAAAAACTGTTTTTATAATTATTAATTCTGTGATTACATCTTGATCATGCTCGTAAGCTTCTTGATTATAATTTCACTGAAGCACACTGTATAGGTCAGGGTTGTCCAAAACAAAAGGCGTGGGTCGCGGACATCTACCGCTTCACCACCTTTATTCTAAATTACTATTTTTTTGCTTACAGATAAATCAAAAGGTATGCAAATGTATATAAACTGTGGCTTTTGTTATATATCTAGTCATGGTGGGATTCTCGCCAACTTTTAAAGTGACAGTCGCCATCTTTTTACACGATTTGAACATTTGAGGTTTGATGATACTTATTATAGGTACTTTTCATGCCTGGACAGCCCTGTTTTAGATAATAAGATATACAACTAACTGTATAATGACGATATAAAGTATTACAGGGTTGCTGTAAATAAGTATGTAAGTATATCTTTTTGGTTTTCTGCTTCAATTAATAATTTATAATTTAATTGAACAGAAATAAGTGATATCCAGAGATATAAACATAAATATTATGGAAATAAGTAATGTTTCACGGAAAAAAGAATTTAAAAGATTATATTATTGGACTTTCTATCTTCGTAATTATAAGATTAATTAATGACTATGTAGGTAACTAATTAATGACAATTGAAACAACTGTCCACCAAAGTTACAGATACCTACACTTATCTAAAAGAAAAAAATTATTACTTGTAGCTATGTAAATACTAAAAAGAGAACATAAATGCATACATACATATTATATCGAAGATGCAATTTGTTAAAAACAAAAAAGTACCTGTACAATTTTATTTTATTTGAAAATACTTCGTTACCAGTGGATGTAATTTTAATATTTTATTGTCTTTGTTTTATCGGACGGTGTATATTACCTCACTGTATAGTTTTCATGTAAATACGTAAGGAAAACATTTGAATTTGTTTTATTCTACTGATTGTTGTGCATTATTAAAACTTAACTCCATGTATTTGGGCAACAACCGAGACAACAAAATAGAATTAAATAAAATTAAAAAAGTTTTCATGACCGATACTTTCTGGGCAGTGTTACCATTTACCTACTTAATAGCAAACATCTCAACATGCTTAACAGATAGATAGATGACTTCTCCATTGCATTCCGTATCATTCAGCCGCCGTCCATGACACAAAACGCACTGAAGATGTCATCCACTAAGCATGTGAAACGTTTGCAATAGAGCAAATGACACGACAACACAATCCAGAAATGAAACCTGTTTCAAAAATCTATTATTATTATGACCTCAAATTCTTTGCCATCAAACCACTCTTTGTTTTCCATCAATACTACTGATAATTGTATGGCATGTGACACAACAATCGATCGGTAATTTCATTCTCAATTCAAATGTGTGCTTTGTTTGCATGGTAATCACCTAGCATCAAATTAATCAATCGAAAACTAAGTGGACATAATTTTATCGCTAAATCTGCTCTCAACTATACTTCTTATTAAAGTTCGTTCTGTATCCCTTTTTGTATGGATCAGGTACCTGACGTAGCACTCCGTAACTTTTAGACATACGTACCTACAGCCGAACATATCAATCTTTCTTCATTTTATTTCGAAAGGCATTTATCTTTCTAAATTAATTATCCAGGTACGTAACTTATATCCTGTATGTTAGGGCAGTCGTTCAGTTGTATTCCAATTATCCTATTATTCACTGTTCCGTACTGAATCCAGTAAAGTGTGTAGTACCTACCTATATTAAACTTTTTTTTGTCTCGGTTGTTGTCATCAACTGCAACTACTAAGTCTCACAATTCTTTCACAAGGGCACAGAAATTTATAGAATCTGATAGGACTATAAGTATTCTAAATAATTTCACCTCATATTGTAAAATAATATGAATATTGTTATTTCACCAATGAAGTACACATATAATGTTAACCGTGTTTTATTTAAATTTTATGATCAACTCTTAAACACCTTAAAATAACAGGCCGACAGACACCGAGACGACACCATAAATTTTAATAATAATTTCATTTTGAATAAATTCTAAAATAATTACGTGGCGCAAACTTTAACTCCTTCCTCCACCCACGTAACAGGAACAATTCGCCTTATATACATATATTCATCATCATAAGGTCCTCAGTCCTAAGACTGGTTGGACACGTATCTCCACTCTTTCCTATCCTGAGCTAATCTTCGCATTTCCTTAAAACTAGAACAACTCACATCCTTAACTATTTTCTAACAGTAATGTAATCTAGGTCTACCTCTACCCCTCCTAACTCCCGTTTCTGCCTCTAATATGTCTCTGACTAGACCTTCATGCCTGAGAAGGTGTCCTACCAACCTATCTCGCCTATTTTTTATTGACTTCCTTAGAGTCCTCTGTTCTCCTATTCATTCCAATACCTCTTCACTTCACTATCCACGGTATCCTCATAATTCGCATGTAACACCGCATTTCGAACGTTTCTAACCTTTTCTTTTCCGCCGCACCAACTGCCTATGTTTCGCACCCATACAGCGCCGCGGTCCAAACACGCCTTTAGCAACCTTTTCGAATTTCTAAATTAACCGTTCGCGAGCATAGAAGTGACTTCTTTTTATTGATGGCGATTCGACCCTGCGCTATCTTCTGCTTTATATCCCTACTACTCCTTCTGTCCTGACTTATCTGACTTCCTAGATACCTAAAGTCGGCCACATCTTCTAATTTTTCTTCTCCTATTTTTTATATTCGCTCTTTCCCTACTTTCAATTCAATTCATTCTTTCAATGAAATACTTAGAAGATTTTTTGTCCTTTCTTCCAAGTATCTCATTGCGTTATCTAGTTTATGAACAGCTAACGTATTTAAAACTATTTCGTTGTAGTTAGCTGCGACATATAGACAGATATATGTATACGTATCTACTATAAATCAAAATTCGACTAAATTTTTAATGTTGTTATTTATTCAGTCATTTAATCAGCAATAATTTATAGATTCCAGCAACTTCTGTCTCTCCCTTCAAAAGTCGTGTTTAGGAATTAAACTGTACAAAGTTGTTGTTCGTATTTCAAACACACTCCCAAGTTATCTTCAGGCGATTCTTCTCTTGAAACTGGGCCAAAATGAATACCAATCCTGAAAGGAACTACGTTAGTTTCTACTTTACAATCAGCCTCCCCTGACGGACAGGAAAACGATCCACACAGCGATAAATCACAGAAACCAACACCAACATTTCCAGGCTGCAAAACAAAATGGAAACGTATTTTATCCGCATTGATTTATAACTGAATAAAAAAGTTTTATGATGATCCCGTAAGTATCATCAAAGCACTGCAGATATATGCGTAAGTGGGTATAATAACTGTAACTTAGTTCACTTTAGATGCAAACAATAAAGCGAAATTTACCAAAGCAAAGCAAAAAAACCTTTGGAATTAACACAGATTTCAAAGATACAATTAAACGACATTCTTTCCATTTAAAATGAGAGTTAGGGAACGGCTTTCTATACAACTCGGGACTGAATAACAGCAAGCAAAAAACGTTTAAATCGGAAAGGGTAAATTCAATAAAGTCTACAATCAAATTTTTAGAGTCCAGTGCGGCCCTTCTAATTATTTAAATTAACAGTTAACTTTGTTATATCACAGGTCAACCCACTTTCGAGAAAATTCTAAAAATTTTAAATACAAGGAAAAGTAACTCTCAGTTTAACTTTTAGCTAATAAAAAAAGGGGCCCTGCACAAAAACTACAATATTTCAACAGTACCAATCAAATCAGGAAATGAACATTGTAGTTAAGGAATAAATACCTAAATAAATTAAAAAGAGATCCAACCTAATTGCCAAAAACAAAACTTGGTCTTGTGTAAACATGAGTACTTCATTTGACCAAGTTTTGTACTAATTAGGTTTTTGGTTTATTTACAGTACAAATCAAGTTACCATTATAAGGTCCTCGAAAGGACATGGAACTACAACCCTATCGTTGCAGCTATCATCTTCTCTGGTAGCAATTGCACCGTCTCCTGATCCGACATCAGAAAAAGCGTCACCATTAACACCAGAAGTGTTGTTCTGACCGGGGCCAATTTTGAAAGAATTTTTGTGACATGGTTCGTACACTACACTACAAGTACCTTTCTCCTGCCTCAGACATATGTTGTAATTTTGATTAGCAAGATGGCGACCGTTTTCGGCAAAATTCATTGTTTTAACGATACCATTTAATCCCGTATGGTACTGTAGGCAACCTTCTGGAACCCGATCGTTGAATGGAATTTGAACAATACGAATCTCCCATAATCGAGATATTACTTTGTCGCTGAGATTCATGGTAATGGTTATGGGTTGTTCTACGGAGTCCACGTCAAAATATACTAAAATTTACTTTTTAGGAGATGGTTATTAACGTAACGTATTAAATATAGGCACTACTCAACAAAATTGCGAAAAATTTTCAATTTTATCAGAAATGATCGTATCTTGGGTGTTCATTTTTCATTATTTGTGAATATCTTTGATTAAAGATGAGTATATCCCTATTCTAAGTTTTACACTTACATCAATAACTGTAGAATAATATTTTTTACGAAAAATATTGGATAAACAGCAGTTGAAATGCACAGTAAATCAACATTCAAAACATATAATAAAAGTATGTATAGTTTGTCCATACGTGCCGCTAAAACTCCTTAACCGAATCCCGTAACCCCATGATGGCCTTCCAATCCCCCGTCCATAAAGATAGTTTCGGTTTTCAAATGCAGGGGTTGATTTCAAAGATATGGGAGTTAAAAGACTATCGTCCTAGAGGACTCCATAGAAAGAAGTTACATCTGGTTAACGATTTACAGAATGTCATAGATTTGTTCAAAATGCACTCACATCTAAAGGGTTCGAGAATGTTTTAGAATTTTCTGGATGGCTCGGAAACGTTCCCGAATGATAACTAATTTTTTCTGATCGAAGTCAGGATAATCCGTCTTGTCCACAAAAAAAATGAAAATTATGTATTTAAAATCATCTGAAGATATTGAAAGTTTCTGTAAGTTTTTTTTCGCAATACAGGAGATTTACTGCATTAAGCAAAGATATCGTTAAGCAAGGACACAAAAATTCAAAATAAAAATGAAATGATCCAGATACGACCATTTCTGAGAAAGTTACAATCATTTGAAAAACTGTTAAATACCAATTGAAGATTGTCCTTGTTGTAATAATTTTATTGAGTAGTAGACCGCGATCTAGCTGACAAACTTACTGTGTTGGTCATCATTTGTACCACATATTGTTAAATTTTTAGAGTTGCTGCCACCTGACAATAAGAAAATGTCATCTTCACATATACCGGTTCGTCGATTTGGTTGACCCTGGAAGTGAGAATTGAAAAGGTAAGAAAGAAGATGACGTAACACTAATCTTCTCTTTATAAAAATAAGGAATTGGTAAGCTTTACTTTTCTCAGCTTCTACGTACCAAATTGAAATGAATAAAGTCAAGTCTCATTTGAGACACGTCTGGATGAATTTTTTTCACTTTTAATGTGCACGATGACATTTTTTTTGAAAGATCCGGGAAATCTGGATTAACGAAGTAAGTAATATTATTAATTGCTTCATTTCCGCATGTTGCTGTAACTGTGTCAGATATTAGAAACAATCGAACACCATATTATAAATGCAGTAATTTTGTTTACTTACAAATACAGCAAACGCCGAAACCTAAAGCGCAGGGACCATGAGAAGAACCACCTTGAATCCTACATTCGTACGTGTTCATACAAATACCTGAAGAAAAGGAAGATTGAAGATAATGGGAAGATTCCAGATTTTCAGTTTACCTTTTCTTCTGCCGTCAGTTTTTGAAAGACACTCTTCTTCGAAAGGAATCGGAAAGAAATTCAAAACTGCCAAAAAATAGATACCTAGTTGCTTTCATTTTAAAATTTAAAAACTATTTAAATGTAATTTAAAACAGTTCTACTATTTCATCAAGAAATGGTTTGATCAGAAACTACGGTAAACACCTTTTCCTTGACGATGATAATCCTGAGGATTCTCCAGAGTTTGAATCTGATTCTTTGCACCTGTGGCATTTGTATTGACTTCCCAAATATTTCCCTGGATTCTGGGGAAACCGGTCACCATCTTAAGCGAATCCCAACAGCAAATAACACAAAAACACACAGACCACCACGAGAATTCCATAACGAAACAACCAGAATTCTTTTCATCCAGTCACTACTACACTTATAGTCCGGTAGTAATAATTCGGATTCATTTTTACAAGGAAATTGAATATCACGATTTCTTTGCGTAAAACAGAATACCGTTAAAATATTAATGAGAGGTTGTTGTTGTTTTGGTAGGTAACGTTTTGAAGCAAACGAACTTGGTCAGTGATCTTGAACTTGTTGAAACTGTGTCACGGAGAAGAGGTCTTCCGTTGGATTATATTATGTACACAAACAACCTACTCGTAATTGTACATAGCCGGAATGAAATCAAAAAAGGAATGTTTGCAGAAACTTGCTTCACAGCAACCGGTGTATTTCTTAACAAGTTTTTTGTAGGTAGATAGGTATAGGTAGGCAGAATTTTCCCACGGTAAAAAGAAACCGTAATAACAGTATGTATACATAGGAACCTAGGTAAGTAAAACAGTCATATTACGATTATTTTTTAAAATTTTTATAGAGCTAATTTAGGCGAAAATAAAAATACAACTAAGTAACACTTTTCACCAACAATTTTCATTCATGCAATATTTTTGGCATTTTAATTTGTTAATCGAATGACACTAAATAATCGCTTCTATTTTTTATTTACTTTGGGATATCTGCAGAGATGAGCAAAATGTTTTTTTAAAAGTATTTAAATACAAAATGCAAATACTTTTTTGATTTCTTATTTCAAATGTAAAATACATTTCCCTTTTGTATTTTAAATGCTAAATGAACAAGAAGTATTTTCAAAATATTTTTTCAAATAAATACCTACCTTTTTGTAGTAAGTAGCTATTTGATTTTCTGCATTTACCTACTTAAATATAAAATAATTCTTAAGAATACCTTAAAGTTACTTCTATGCTCGCGAACGGTTAATTCAGAAATTCGAAAAAGGTTGTTGAAAGTGTATGTTTGGAGCACGGCGCTGTACGGGTGCAAAACATCGACAGTGGGCGCGTCGGGAAAGAAAAGATTAAAAGCGTTCAAAATGTGGTGTTACAGGCGAATGATGAGCTTACCGTGGATAGAGAAGGTTAGANGAAGATTGAGTATTATTCATATTTTTCTGTTTGAAGTTATTGAGATATAGTTTTTCTATCTTTATGTTATAGTTTCTTCAGTTCAGCAACAAATAATTCTTCTCAGTGTGCTTCCTTATTTGCCTTTGTCATTCGTTTTAATTGAAAAAAAAGACACTAATGCCAAAATAATATGTTTACCGTGAAAAATCAGAGCCAAAATAGGGTTGCAAATAATTTTATTGTTGTAAAATCAACATCAATCATATTATATCCAAGTATTTACAACCCCATTTTGTTTCTGATCTTTTACAAATTAAGAGAAAAAAATGGAATCCATAATAAGTTTTGGGTTCATCTAATAAGTGAAGTTTTTCGAATCGTTTTCTAAGAGTTTTGGATTATAGGCATTTATTAGTACATATTATAGTTTTCAGTTTTATACATCTGACGTATATAGAATTTCGTGGTTCCTTGCTAAAGCTAGGATAAGGAATAATTTTGCAGGTGCTGATATCAATTTGGTAGAGGACTCCATAGAAAGAAGTTACATCTGGTTAACGATTTACAGAATGTCATAGATTTGTTCAAAATGCACTCACATCTAAAGGGTTCGAGAATGTTTTAGAATTTTCTGGATGGCTCGGAAACGTTCCCGAATGATAACTAATTTTTCCTGATCGAAGTCAGGATAATCCGGCATGTCCACAAAAAAAAATGAAAATTATGTATTTAAAATCATCTGAAGAAATTGAAAGTTTCTGTAAGTTTTTTTTCGCAAAGCAGTAGATTTACTGCATTAAACAAAGATATCGTTAAGCAAGGACACAAAAATTCAAAATAAAAATGAAATGATCCAGATACGACCATTTTTGAGGAAGTTACAATCATCTGAAAAACTGTTAAATACCAATTGAAGATTGTCCTTGTTGTAATAATTTTATTGAGTAGTAGACCGCGATCTAGCTGACAAACTTACTGTGTTGGTCATCATTNTGTCGTTCTTCATGTATTTTTTGTTACTAAATTTTTTTTATTGTTATAATAGCTACTTTTGTGCAAATAATTTCATTTATTTAACTGAAGATGTTTTTAAACTTTTAGAACAAAATAGTAGATATTATACATATACATATCCTAAAATTTCTTCTGGATAAATATGTTGATTCCAATAGTAAATCTAATAAATATTATTGCTACAAATTATTGTCAAATTTCTTTAAAAACATATAAAATTGCCTTGACTATTAATTAAAAATTCAAAGATGCTATAAACAAATAAAGTGAATACAGTGTCAAGAATTTGGTGAGGGCGTCGAACACGGTAAGTAGTAATAAACATATACATTACATATTTAATCATAAAACCATATTTAAATTAGCAATATTTCTTTATAACAGATATAATTGCTTTAATTGTTCCTAAATTAATTTTGAGAAATTAAGTATTTTCTGTTAAAACTTTTGGAATGTTTCTTATATTTCAATTAAGGAATTATAGGATATCCTTCGTATTTCGCATACCTGCAGCGACATCTTACGGTTGATAGTCAAACGCTAGTATCTAAACGTTACAGGTTTCAAACGTAACCATTACAGATGTCTGCCAAATAGCTACTAAAGTAGTACTGGCAATAATAATAACACTAAATTTTACGCGGCAAATTGTCTAATTTCCCATGCGTCTTATGCTCTCCTAATACAAATTTTCGATTTTCGAAGTTCCGCTACTATTCCGCGACACCTGAATTTGTAGCCGCGCCTAGTATTCAGTAAAAATAANCATGACACTGAACCCGGAAAACAATATCGATCCAATATTTTAGATTATCCATTTCCAAGGAGTTTATAATTTTTTGGGCTCTCTTCAGTCACAGAATTAGAAGGCATTTATGGAATGTCTCTTTGTCCCCCTTTTAAGCTTCTAATACCTTCAATGCCCAATGAGAGCAACAATTATTCATCATTTTATATTACGTTTGATCGGTCATACTAACAAAACTTTTAATGGCAAAAATGTGTTTTGCATTTCACAAATAGAAAATATGTTTGGAAAAGTATTTTAAATAAAGTACAACATGCTTTTCTCAAAAAGGTATTCATATTCAAGATAAAAATAGGTATTTTTTATTTTGTATTTGCATTTTAATTGCAAATGTTTCAAATAAAAGCATTTCTGATTCTATTACTACATATAGTTTTTGCAAACTAAATATTTTTATTCTTCTGGCTTTTCTACTATATACTTTCCTACACCATAATATTTTTCAGACCATCCTTTCCTTCCATTTGAATTTCCCATTGTTTTGTACTATTTCCTGTTATTCCACATCTCTCAAAAATATGTTCGAACGTCTCTGCTCCAGGTTTTTGTAATTTACTTTGTATTTAAATATTTTATTGTATTTCAAACATTAAGTTTTTAATTTCTGTTAACTAATATTTATATTTGAATGCTTAAATCAAGGTAATTTATTTGAAATATTGGATTTGATTGTTTATAATAGTATAATCTATTTGTATTAAGTTCAGTATTTGTATACACTTTCTTGAAAAAATGTTTGTATTTGTGTTTAATAAAAGCATTTGTATTTATTGTATGCCAATAAGTATTCATTAAAGGAACTAATTTAAAAACTTTTAAAAGTAAAAGTACTGAACAAATTGTCTGTGATGATATGTTTATAACAATATTTAATAGTATTGTACATTACAATTAATTATCTGTCGTTCTTCATGTATTTTTTGTTACTAAATTTTTTTTATTGTTATAATAGCTACTTTTGTGCAAATAATTTCATTTATTTAACTGAAGATGTTTTTAAACTTTTAGAACAAAATAGTAGATATTATACATATACATATCCTAAAATTTCTTCTGGATAAATATGTTGATTCCAATAGTAAATCTAATAAATATTATTGCTACAAATTATTGTCAAATTTCTTTAAAAACATATAAAATTGCCTTGACTATTAATTAAAAATTCAAAGATGCTATAAACAAATAAAGTGAATACAGTGTCAAGAATTTGGTGAGGGCGTCGAACACGGTAAGTAGTAATAAACATATACATTACATATTTAATCATAAAACCATATTTAAATTAGCAATATTTCTTTATAACAGATATAATTGCTTTAATTGTTCCTAAATTAATTTTGAGAAATTAAGTATTTTCTGTTAAAACTTTTGGAATGTTTCTTATATTTCAATTAAGGAATTATAGGATATCCTTCGTATTTCGCATACCTGCAGCGACATCTTACGGTTGATAGTCAAACGCTAGTATCTAAACGTTACAGGTTTCAAACGTAACCATTACAGATGTCTGCCAAATAGCTACTAAAGTAGTACTGGCAATAATAATAACACTAAATTTTACGCGGCAAATTGTCTAATTTCCCATGCGTCTTATGCTCTCCTAATACAAATTTTCGATTTTCGAAGTTCCGCTACTATTCCGCGACACCTGAATTTGTAGCCGCGCCTAGTATTCAGTAAAAATAAAGCAAACGCATACGTATTCAGATCAATTATCGATTAATCTTTAATATCAGTTATCATTTATTGATAAATTAATCAAAAAATTTCTGCAAAAATTCGATTTTGGTTCCTATACATGGGCCGACATTGACCGAAAAAAACGTTAAAAATATCATAAATAATAATTTGTTGGCAAAAATGAAGCTAGCGGGAGCTCCTTATATCATCTATTGGTTAATCTTTATCATCAGTTATCATTTATCGATGAATTAAGCGAAAAATTTATCCTGATGTTCGATTTTAGTTCCCAAAAACAATCGACAGGTAGCTATACATGGGTTATTTTTGGGAACCAAAATAGAACACTAGGACAAAATTTTCGTTAATCTATTAGTAAATGATAACCGATATGGATAATTGATTAATAAATGATAAGAACTAGCTGAGGCTTGCTTTATTTTTGTAAAAAAATAGGTATTTATTCTGTTATTAAGGTTTTTCGGATAAAATCGACCCACGTATCTGAACCAAAATCGAAGGAGTCGAGTTGAAAATTTTCGCTTAACCGCTCGAATCGTTCGATTTTGGTTCAGATACGTGGGTCGATTTTATCCGAAAAACTTTAATAACAGAATAAAGATCTATTTTTTTACAAAAATAAAGCAAGCGTCAGCTAGTTCTTATCGTTTATTAATCAATTATCCATATCAGTTGTCATTTACTGATGAATTAAGCGAAAAATTTGTCCTAATGTTCTATTTTAGTTCCCAAAAACAATCGACAGGTAGCTATACATGGGTTATTTTTGGGAACCAAAATAGAACACTAGGACAAAATTTTCGTTAATCTATTAGTAAATGATAACCGATATGGATAATTGATTAATAAACGATAAGAACTAGCTGACGCTTGCTTTATTTTTGTAAAAAAATAGTTCTTTATTCTGTTATTAAAGTTTTTCGGATAAAATCGACCCACGTATCTGAACCAAAATCGAACGATTCGAGCAGTTAAGCGAAAATTTTCAACTCGACTCCTTCGATTTTGGTTCAGATACGTGGGTCGATTTTATCCGAAAAACCTTAATAACAGAATAAATACCTATTTTTTTACAAAAATAAAGCAAGCCTCAGCTAGTTCTTATCATTTATTAATCAATTATCCATATCGGTTATCATTTACTAATAGATTAACGAAAATTTTGTCCTAGTGTTCTATTTTGGTTCCCAAAAATAACCCATGTATAGCTACCTGTCGATTGTTTTTGGGAACTAAAATCGAACATCAGGATAAATTTTTCGCTTAATTCATCGATAAATGATAACTGATGATAAAGATTAACCAATAGATGATATAAGGAGCTCCCGCTAGCTTCATTTTTGCCAACAAATTATTATTTATGATATTTTTAACCATTTTTTCGGTCAATGTGGACCCATGTATAGGAACCAAAATCGAACCTTTTGTAGAAATTTTTTGATTAATTTATCAATAAATGATAACTGATATCAAAGATTAATCAATAATTGATCTAAATACGTATGCATTTGCTTTATTTTTATTAAATAAGACAATTTGCCGCCTAAAATATAGTGTTATTATTATTGAAACTTTAGTAGCTCTTGGTAAACATCTGTATTTTAGTGAACTAAATATATTCGACTATCGGCCATGAGATGTCGCTCCAGGTTCGAGGCATACGAGGGACATCCTGTAATTTTTAACTGAAATATAAAGAACAATCGCAAAGTTTTGACATAAAATGTTTTTCTCAAAATTAATTTACTGTACTAATTTTGTTTTTAGGTCACATTGAAATATTAATACTGATTCTATTAATTTTTATATTAGTGCATTTCAAGAAATTAACATTATTAAAGATGAAAATTGCAAAATTTAAATATTATTGTATGTAGAACTGTTTAGCGTGTTCGAATAGGAATTAATCGTAAAATAATACCACAATGTACATGTATTTCTCACAACTTTAATGGCAGTTTAGATATTAATGGAAACTAGTACAATTATATACATTTACTTAAAGCACAAACTGCATAAATAGAAACTTTACAGAAAAATGATCTAAATATTTCCTATGACGCATGCATGGGAATTAACTATGATGAAACTGCATCATTTAAACTAATGAACTTGCGTTTCACAATGAGTAATCATCAATATATCGACTACAATTGTTGAAAGCTTTGCTAATTTTGAGACACAAAAACAACGTTCCTCTTTTACAATGAGGTTTTCACATATAAGTATGTAGTAGATATCGAAATGCATTTGAAACGTTTTTTAGGCCGGAAAATTTTTTCAAACATTCTCGTTTCGTATATTTTTACTTTATAAAAAAGGCACAATGTAAAACAGAAACTATTGAGACTGACTGACTAGGCACATATCTGAAATCTGCCTAATGTGAAAATACTTTTATAATCTGATTCTCTACCAAAAATATAACGTTTTTTTTTTCTCAGTACAAGGGATCCAAAATATTGTTTTTCTTATCGAACTACTTATCGATATTCCTGATACAAGCGAATCACAAACAGGTTGAAATATGCAATTAAAAGGGAAAAAATAAGAAATAAATTGGAACATGGAATGTAAATACATATTAATATTTTACTTGTATAAAAATCAAATTGCCAGACCTTTGTATTTAGTAGCAAATGCAAATAAATTCAACCTATGTGATTTCGACTTGTCTCAAAAATGCCAAGTGTTGCATTTGTAGATATCATATTTCAGTTGTTTCAAAATAATCCGAGACATTACAATTATAGAAAACCATTTGGAAATTTAAAATAACAAAATGACCACAATGATACAGGTGACACCTTAGAACTGTTAGAAAAAAATAGTAGTGATAAATACTTTAAAAATACATTCATAGATACTTTTACAACTCTGTCTAAAAATTATAGGAACTTGTATTTTAAACACCCTGATATAGATTGTAATTCCTACATATCTAAGGACTTAAAACAATCAAGACATATTTAGTCAATTCTGTCCATCAGAATATATTATTATAACATATTAAATTTAATTATTATAGGAGACGAAAAGACAATTTTTTTAAAAGAAATTAATTTTTGAAGAAAGCCGAACAAATTTAGCAATCAATAAATGAATGAAATTAATAAAATGCAAAAAAAAAGGAAATACTTGTTCGTAGTTTATTTTGGCGCCATCTGTATTAGAAAAATGTTACTGTATATTTAAGGGTTGAACGTTACGTTTAGGTAGAGCGCTACTCAAAGGAGTGAAAGGGATGATCGATTAGTAGTAAGTAGTTGGTGTTTTTTTTTGCATATAAACTGACTTACTACATAAAAGAATTATGTCTTGGCTGTTAATGTAATATGATTTTCATTTGATATAAGGTACACCTGTATCGCAATGTTAGGAAAAATAAAATACTTTATAAACTCATTCACATCTCAAAATATGTTATTGTTGCAACGCAACTGCAACGAAATTGTTTAAGTACTTATCATTCAGGCACCTAAGACTAAAATAAATAGGAAAATGATCGCTAATATATTATGTCCCCTTTCTGTCGAGGAAACGGTGAGTTTACAAAGTATTTCTGTTACAATACTTCCGTCTTAAAGTTTTCACGAATCCTACGCACTATATTAAAATAAATAATAGTATGCAAGGCAGATAAATACACTGTAATTGTAGTAATAGTAGTAGTAGTAGTAGTAGTAGCAGTAACACTTATAAGAAGATTAAGGTAGTAATTTTAATCGTAGTAATAAATTTTATAGTAAGTAGTGATGTAAAATCCTATGGATATATGCTACGATAAAAAACCACATGCATTCAGTCTGAATCAAGTCAACGATAAAAATAAACAATAAAGTCACGACAACTATGTTTTACAATGTTCGTTATACATTCATACGACTTAATTATCTAGGGCCCTTCTATTTCTCTACGTTTAGGATTCTTCGAATGAAATAGAAGAGTGCTTTGTTTCTTTCAAGCCTACTGGGGTTACATAATTTCCTTTACTTTATAACGTAAGCAAAATTTTGTCCCTTTTAAATTAACTAATAGTAGAATTTACTAAAAGTAATCGAGGTGGCTTTCGTTTTTTTTTAACAGTAAGATACACATTTGTAGCAATATTGTTAATAACAAATTACAAAAAATTACGAAATCGAAAAGATTACACCACCTCGCACAAAATAACGTCCACTTTATTCGACGTGACGCGACAAATTCCCCTGCGTCTAAGAAGCTTTTGCGTTACGCCATCTGTTATACAAAAGTACTACGAACTTAAAAGATGAGTGATATGTAACGTTTGCAGGGGAAGTATCGATCCGACAATCGATCATCCTAACTGATTATTATATTAACATTATATACTTTTACCTAACAAAACGGACTACATCTGCGCAACAACAGAAATTTTACTAGCTCGACTATTATATAGTTAACAACATAATATTAAATCTTGAGTAAATCCATTCTAGAAGATATGCGCTCTTGCGTTTTATATCGCGTAAACGTGGTACATGTAATGGGTAGTCCGGATACAGAATATTACCTAACGCTACATCATTACCTATAACCGAGGTGGGGTGTCAGTCAATGTTTCACTTTTGCATTCGTAGGCAGGTTGTTCTGTTTCAGTCCCTCACTCTTGACAAAGTCGATCTCTGCATACAAGAAACCGCTTCCATCTGCGACAACATTGCCGCAACTTGTTTCACTGAAGGCATGATTTTTGAGAAATCGCGGACTAGAACACCCACTTTCGTCATCGGGGGCGGTAACCAAGTCCAGAGTGGCATAATGTAACTGGCCATCAAGTGATGTCCGAATTTGATCAGAACTGCTAACTGACGGCGGCCTAGAACCAACAAGAGTCGAGGTTGTAGATCCGGTTTCACTCGACGTTGAACTGGGTCTTGAATTCGGTCTGGACTTGTCATCGATTACAGAAAATGCTCGATCATTTTCTATAACAGAGTTGGGTCGGGAATTTCTGGGGGTTGTCGAACTTGAGATTCCCATATTTTCTGGGGGTTTTAGTGGAGCTACGTCTCCAGGCTTAGGAGAAACGGACTCCACATTGCTTTCATCCCTGGGCTCTGTTATTGGGCGAAAACATCGATTTCCCGTCATGCTCAAGTCTAATGAAGATATTTGAGGGGTTAAGGAAGAAGGACTAGATAATTTGGTAACGACCTTCCTGTCGTTTTGCTGTGAGATTTCAGATGCCCCCGGCTTCATAACAGCGTAATTTGATACGTTATCACTCATTGGTCGTTCCTTTTCTTTGGAATTTTGAGCTGGATTATAGTTTACATAATCCGACTCCTTAGAATTAGAGTTATTCGTTCGACATTTTTCAAAGTCCATAATAGTGTAGTCATCTTTGGAACAAAATGCTCCTTTAGAGACGGGATTGTATTTGATATTTATTATAGCGCTTGGAAGTTTGATAATTCCTTGAGTTTCAGGTGTTCTTGTTGAAGAGTATGGTTTAATGGGAGAGCTGGGACTGTTGAGGCTAATGGGAAATATAGTTGAGGAACTTGAAGGTGTAGTGAGACTGGAACTTGAACTATCTTTCGAGTCCTTATGATTATTCTTTTTTACCCGTTGTCTTGGAAGACTGGGATATGACCCTGAGCTGCTACTGAACAAAGGAAGGTGCATTTTTGGTGGAGTGCCGGTTGAATGCTTCCTTCCGATATGAAGGGAAGAGTAAACCGGACTGATGGAACTCGAATTTTTAGGATACTGATACTGAGACGATGCAGTTGAAGGTTGAATAGAGATAGGTTGCGATTTTTTGCTCTCTTTTTTACTGCCCCTTTTCTCTTTCCTTTTTGACGAACCAGACATGTCACTGTAATCTCCATTGTCTAATGTAACTTTGGCACTGTCTAGACTAGATTGCCGTTGATGAGCGTTTTGTTTGCCGATTGACATTTCAACGTAACCATCAGTGTTCATTGGAGATGGTTTAGATTCGGATCTTGTATGAGGACAATTATGGAAACCCATGTCCATCGAAAGACCGCTAGAACTCGAAGGAGAACCACTGAGATTTTTCGGTGATCCACTGAAGAATGGTCTTGGCTTATTTTGGAAATTCATCTCCATATAATCCGACTGAGACCAAGAAAATGACGGTCGCAAATCAGTCTGCGCAAGGACATGCTTATTATTTTTCCTTGGATCCATATCAACATACTCTTCATTCGCCGATTTGGCATTAGTAGATGACGCAGACATATGCGTGTAATCGTTGTTTGATAGCAATCTAGGCGGAGATGAACCTGTTTGCATATCGACATAAGGCGACTCGTCAGGTGGTCGTAAGTTTTCATGTAGTCGTAAACCATCCGGCAAGGCAGGTTTCATTTCGACATAACCTTCTGGAGTAGCCTTATTTGTACTACCGGCAGACATGTCAACGTAAGCATTCTTACTCGGCTTAGAGAAATCCATTTCCATCAGATCATCCATTGGGTCGTCTCCATTGTGAAGTCTCGAGTTAGATAACAACGGAGCACTCGAAGATTTTGGTTTGGGGTGAATGTGGTGTCCATGAGGAGGAAGTACTCTGTTGTAAGTCTTCTTGGTTTTTGATCCCACGCTAAATGCGCGTACACGGGAGTCGGGAATGCTCCCAATCTCTCCAGCAGTCTTCTTCCTCACTTCTAGTCGCGAACCAACCGAATACGTTCGCATAGGTCTATCCACTGAGCTAGTCTCCTCTTCAGATGGGGTGAAATAAGCGCTCACTTTTTCGAGAGGATACTCGATAAACCTCATGTCTGTTGAAGGAGTTCCAGAAGTTATGCTGCTCATGCTTTCTGAAGGGGATGTTCTATTATTTCTTCCCTTCGGACTCATATCAACGTATCCATCGTCGGAACTTATGGGAGCCATGGGAACATAGCCGCTCGGACTTGACCTCTGCATGCCATACGAACACTCGACGCAATCTTCTTCCGCAATAGCTTCGTCTGGAGTAACCGAATGACCATATCGGCTACAAATTCCATCTATTTCGGGAAAGTGTTCGGTGTCGTCAATACTTAACGAGGAACCAGCCGAATCAGTGGAACATGCACCAGAAGGTGGACTAAGAGGACTTCCTGCCGGTGGACTGTACGAAATATCGCGACCATAGAATGATTGCGGACGATGAGGGCCATGGTATGGTCTCTGCTGAGGCCAAGGGTATACTTGATGATTCCCTTCGCTTGATGTGCGAGGCCTAGAGGGCATGCTATCACAACGTTCACGTATTCCTCCTGCGCCAAAAACATAAAGATATTGATCTGAAAGTAACCGATGTTTAATAAGAAACATACCAGCATTAGAACTGGGGATATTATGGTGTTTTATAGATCCAGGTGTTGTCTGCCTTCTAGTTATTGATTTAGACGATTCTGTGGCAGAACTAGACCTGTTACGGCTTTTAGGCCCAAGTTCCTCCTTGCTGTTGCTACTGGTAGTCATAGAGCTAGAAATAAAAATGTTCGTTTATTTGAGAGTAATCTCAAATTCACATAATAAGATAGTTTTGGGTAACGTCCAACCGCATCAACAAATATTTTATTCAATGTGTGTATGTAATAAATAAGACGACATCAATGTACAATCTCTCAGGTTGTTTGCATGATACTAAAATTATAATGCATGACTATTAATTTGAATGGCGATTTTCATTCTACTTGACTTCGATTACACACTAGATACGTGCACAATTAAACAAACTGCTACGTACTGGTAAACTGTCTGATGGATATTTTGGGCTATATTTGCGTCTTCCGTTTCCATCCACAATTCACCGGCTCCAATGCTACTCGAGCGTCCCATCTGGAACAAATATAAAATTTATAATATAACGACTTATGGATATAACAATTATAACAATTAGTTTAAAAAAATGCTTTTCAACGGTAGATAAAATACATATCAACCACTTACACTAATACAGATTCTATAAAATATCAATCCAGTATTTTTAACAAAAAAATACACCCAGCTAGAAATATTTTTTATTTTTAAGGGGTCGCGTTACAATAAAGGCTAAAAAACTGTTTTTAACCGTACACTACAGTAAAATATAGCTTAATAATAATAATAGCTTATAACAATTATATTGTACAACCCTGCTTGCACTCCCCTACAAATATAGAACTGACACGAGAACGAAATGTCAACACTACATATTCCTATGTCATTGCTCGTCGAATGGAGTCACGAAAGTCTCTTAGTACCGTCATTATATAAAATTCTTCCCTACTGTTAACTACTTCCACGAAGCCTGGATCTGCTCCTTCTGCTGCCGTAACAATGTCACCGCTGAATGGAAGACAGAAGACAAAATGGACGGCGCCCCCTCCTACGCAAACTGCAATACCTATCGCAACTGCCCCAATGTTACACGGAGAACCGTAGCCCCTAAGAAAACCACCACTCCTACCAACACCCCGGCTACTTTAATAAGTGTTCAGTCAACCCCTGCCCTCCCAAAATCCTATGCCAGGACGAGGACAGCAGCCCCCTTCTTCCATCTGTTTAGTGCTAGGTGCAATTCCAAACCTAAAGCAGAAACATCAGGTCATCGTCCAATCCATGGTAGCCAGCACAGTCGCCGAATAGTCACCTGGAATTCTCAAAGCATTACAGGCAAACTGACTGAACTCGAACATTTCCTGGGGGAGAAGTTAGTCAGTGTGGCTTGCACCAGCGAAACCCACTTCCTATCATATAAAGTCAACCACTTCGTATCAAAGAAAACACGTCTCCTGAGGGTACCGACTTCCTAACAGAAAAAGCATTTCCTTTTTGCCAATGCTCTCAATTTCAATCTCACAACTGAAGCCTTCCCAGATCCCACGCACCTCCCTGACATCCTTCACATCTTTATCACCAAAAACGCCACTCCCTCCGCCGATCTTACCGCTCTCGACGCACTAAGCTCCAACCACCTAATTGAAGTCGGCCCCCAATTGACAACTCTCCAAATCTAACAACTTCGTTACCTATCTCTCCTCCCCCCAAACAAAACCCTTTCTCCCTGCAGACATTTTTGCCCTCGTCAAGAAAAAAATCAGGACCCGTCGCCTGTGGCAAATATACTGTAATCCCTCACACCGAATCGAGATAAATGCCCTCCAGCGACAATCCAAAACTCTTACACTTCAGACGAGGAAAAACTGCAGTATCCGTAGACTCTTTCTACCTCCTGTGCTCTCCACTACCCAACCCTGTGAATCTTGCCGACTTTCACAAGTACACCACAGCCGCCTCCCCACTCACCCCGACTTCAAACACACAATCCTCCACAAAATCTCCCTTACCAGCCGATCTCTGAAAAGGAGGAAAGCCCCTCAGGTTGAAAGAATTCCCAACGGTGCCCTAAAAGTCCTGTCATCGAAACAAATAACTAAACTCTGCAGTATCAGAAACGCTTTCATACGGTTCCACTTCCCATTGGTCTATAAAGAAGCCACCGTCACCTGCTTCTCTAAAAAAGGGAAACCTTTCACCTCTCCCTCAAGCAACAGGACCATCGGCCTACTCAGTATGCTGATCAATGTAGCTGAGTCTATCTTTCTGGTCCAACCTCTTGATGTGGAACGAAACAACCTCCACCCTGACTTTCAACACGGTCTCTGCAAGCACCATAGCAACGGTCATCAACTCCTTCGTGTTTCCAAACACATTTCCAACAATCTAAATAAGCGCAGTCACACTTCCACGCATCTGTTTGACACCCTTCAAGTCTTCCATCGAGTTTGGCACGAAGGTCTCATCTCCGAGCTTATTATCCTCAACACCTCACATTTACTAATCGGGGTTATTAGACTCTTTCTCTTCCTTGAATGTCGTCTTGATCAGACTAGCACACGATTACGATGTGCATCCCTCTATGGTATCCTCATCATTTGCCTGTAATAGCACATTTCGACCGCTTCTAAGCTTTTCTTTTTCACTGCGTCCACCGTCCACGTTTCAAAACCGTACAGAGTCATACTCTTGACATATATCTTTAACAATCTTTTTCTAATTTCTAAATTAACCGTTCGTGAGCATAGAAGTGACTTCTTTTTTCTTACATTTCAACTAGATTAAATATATAATACGTATCCAATCAGTCTTAGGACTGACGACCTTATGATGATGATGATGATGACAGTATTCTTCATTGCTGCAATTTTTGTGAATTTTCTATACATTTTAAACCAATTACGCGATTTATTTATTACTGTAAAACTGTTGCAATTATGCTGTGTAATAGCAGAACTTTTCAAACTCATAAAAACAAGTTTTCTTGAAATGGTAAAAAACATTTTCAATATAGTACTGACAAACAAAATTTTTAAATTAAACCTTACAAATTATCACATGAAATAGAATACCTATACATGTATAATAGTAAACAATACTATACCAGTGGCAGAACTTCCAAAAGAGAATACAATAATAAATTAATTTTATACAAGTTTTAAAAATACTTTTATACCAAAAGAACATTTGTTCAAAAGTGTGTTAAAAATTAGTTACTTACCTTACTTTACTTGGTCAGACGTCGATCAAAAGAATTAGAATGAAATGGAGTCTCTAGGTACCTTTGGTACAAAATTATTTATATTTTGCAATTTCTTCTGGACAAGGGATGATCAGCACATTTTTAAACACATATTTTTTCTATGACTATATCTTTTACATATATTTTTAAAATTTTAGCTTGATACTACAAATTAATTGCGATTGTGCATTTAACATCAACAGAACAAAGTACGTCATTCCCTCCCAAGCGTGACTTGTTACTCAAACCGAAAGGATTAATCTCCCACTATTGTGGGCAAGCGGGTAAAATTCATGCAGCAATAACAATAGTTCATTTGGGCACCAAAAAGTGCCCAAGTGAACGACTTCAAAACAAATGGAAAATACCACGACACTTCGTTAGTGTTGCCTTTTCTTGCCGCAATCTTACAATCCTTAATTCTAAGTAATCAAACAAAAGCATTCTTCAGTAAATACATTTATTGAGCTTGTTCCTTACTTATTAAAAATTAAATGGATACGCCACTGGTGCACAGTAACAACGCCGCAGTTGTTATTATGTGTAAAGTACAAGTAAACAAGCGCGTTATTTACAAATTAATGTGTTTTTCACTATTATCTCTCACCGATAATATTTGCAACAATCTAGCAAAAAAGATTACACAAAACCTCACCTACAAAGCCGAACTAGATTATGTCAATTAAACTGGGAAAATGTTGGCGCCAATTTCACTCACGTGTACACTTTACACATCGAAATGTACACGAACGGAACATGTGTACACACAAACGATACCATGAATTAAATCTGAATTGCGATAATAAAAAGTTTGCGCAATTTGGGTTTAATCGTAATTTACATGTTAGTGTAAAGTTACAACGTTAATTTTTAATAATAATAAAAAAAGTAATTAAACCACTACACTAAAAGCACATTTATAATATGTACGCATCAATGCATCCATGCAGATAGTAATTGATTATTTATGTACATATACAACGAGTGGATATATTATAGGTTCTCATTTCTTAAACTTTTTGAACCCCTTTTTAAGGTACCCCTTTTTCGTAAAACCCCTGGTTTGCTTCAATAATATGACTTTGAATTAATGGAGCATTCTCTAAATTGATTATTTGTAGCCAAAATGATAGTAATTTGAAATAATAAATAATAAAAATCGGTTGTCTGTAAAGTCGGTTTACTGACGATAGTTGAACGTGACAACGTCATAAGAAAATACTGATGGAATGGTTTCATTTTTTCAAAAGAAAATTTTAATTTTATTTGTTTGATAGATATTTTGTATGGATATAGAGAAGGAGGTAAATGGAAATGTATTATTGTATAGCAGCTGTCCACGCGGACGCATCGCTCACTCAAGTAGGAGAGAGACAG